GTATAATAGCAATGGTGGACCTGGTTGTCTATTAAGAAGTATCAAAAGGAGCTATTGCTAGCCTTTTCGCCCTCGGATGGCTGCAAGGACATGGTTGATTTGAATTTTTGTGTCTGGGCCCCATTTTAATCTGCCTTCTTTTATCTATTTTGCATATTGGGGAATAATACAGTTGTGAAAATCTTATAAGGCTAGATCAGGGTCAACGGGTTGTATAAGCTTTAATGTATTGTATTTTACTATTAACTCTACTTTGAACAACTTGTTTGCTGTTTTCTAATGGCTTGTACTTTGTGGGGGTTTCCAGAAGCTGCTGTTCTATATTCATTTTGTTGTTTTGTTTTTTTTTTCTTTCCACTTTGTGCCTGGTGTGCTAGACAGGTTACCTTGTTACACCCTCTTTCCAAACTCAAGCTTTTTAAAACTGTTTTGTAATAGTATATATATATATATATATATATACTTGGATAATAAGAGTTAAGGTAGTAGTGCTGTCCTCAGATTCAGTGCACCTCCCTCTTCGCTGTCACATATAGGTGAAAATTGTGAAAGAACCAAGGCCATATGTGAGTTTTATTGAAGGCATGAAGAATGATGAATGTATTGAATGTAAGTCACCGGTAATGAGCTGATTGCTCCTCTTTATTACCTGATAAAAATGAATGTGAAGAAAGGGGTATGTAAACTCTCAGCTGTTTTACACAGGATTGCAAATCCTTTCTTGTAGATAAGAGCTGAAAAAACAATTGGTAACCATGGTATTTCTTGGTACACATCTAACACATCTCTATGTAAAGTGACCTTTAGTTTGGTATACATCACGGAAAGCCTTTCTTTTTTAGATATTCAGTGAACACAGGAAGTTATACATTTGTTGATGACATTGAAAAAATGTTTTATCCATTAGCCAATAAATTTAGTATAATAATAAATGACTTGGATCAAAGTGTTCTACACATAGTCAAATGTGTATATATAATTGTATGAATTTGTTTAGAAATACCCTGTAAAATAATCAAGACCATCACATTGAATGCAAAGTTTTTAGGTTTCATATTTGCTGAAGGATTTAAATTTTTTTAGTGTAGTATCCTGTCAAATATTTACTGAATTATTTTTCAGTTTTCTTTTTCACTTTTTCTTCTTATGAACTGCAAATAACTAAAACAAAACCATTGCTCATAATCTATATGAGATCGTTAATCATATCTGTGATCAGAGGGGGGCAGCAATAAAAACTGAATGTTCACAACAACAGCTCCATTTAGATATACTGGACCTATTTCTAGAGATAAGATGTCCTTGACACAGAAGCTTTAGATACTTTTATGATGTCACGCACCAGAACTGTTGGGATCTGAACGTATTTATATGTCTTCGTTCATATAGACTCAGATTTTTTGGTTTTTGCTAATAGTTTGATTGGATTTTTCAAAAGCAGCAAATTAAAGTAGATTATCGGGAGGAAATCATAAGTTTCCACAATATTTGAGAAGGGAAACTTATGTGAAATCTTCTTTCCTTCAATCTCAGCATCAAAATATTGTTTAAAAATGAACAATGAATACCTAATATGTAGTTTTACTCTAAACTTTTTCAGATCTACATATCAAATCAAATTTGATTATTTTTACATTTCTTCATTTATGAGATATTTTTTAAACTAGAAACACAAATCCTGTTTTATTTACAGTACACCTAGAACAACTACAGGGACAATTTTAATAGAAACAATACAGTAATCAATACATACCCTGCTTCATGTTCTAAGGTCCCTAAAGATGCTTATCACTGGGTGAGCAGCTCTCACTAGCTCTCAGCTAATCAGAACAATGGGGGCCTCCATGTTTAGCCGAGTTAGGTTAATATTTTCAAACAAGCAAACCCCCCAAGGATAAGTTATTTTACCTAAACATCAAACAAATATCTCCACTAATCCAAATAAGAGAATAAAACATTTTCCCTTTCTGTTTTATTTAACAGCTACATACAAAATGTGTCCCACACACTTTATTTAATATAGTTTAATATAGTTTGACATAGTGTATAGGGCTGTGTAAATGTATGAATCATACATGAGTACTAGCTTTTTTTTAAATTAGGAATTTATCTGGGAGCTATAATGGGCTACCTAAACATAGCCATCCCATATGAAAAACAAACTGCAAAACACATTAAATGGCTGCATTTTTATTTGTTACACCAGATCTAATATGATGCAAAGCAGCCAAAACTTGTGGCTTGTTGATGCACAGAATGTTTTCCCAAAAGTCTGTTATCTTTCTGATAATCTAAAACATTTAAGTGTGAGCAATGAGTAACTCTTGTCATCAAAGATTGTCATACCATACCATACCATACCAACTTTATTTATGAAGCACTTTATGCACTGGACAGGACTAAAGTGCTGTACACAATTATAAAATCAAATGCAATTATATAATAGAAAAGATCGAGTATAAAATACATATTAGTATACAGACAAAATAAAACAAATTGAAACCTCTCAGATTGTGCCAAAAGCAAGGGAAAAAAGATGAGTCTTAAGGAGGGACTTAAACATAGCAAGAGAAGAGGCCTGTCTTATGCTCAGAGGCAGATCATTCCAT